AGTTTGTACTCTTTATGCTCATTTGGGCACTGAATTAGTAATAAAACATATCTTATCTTATCTTATCTATTTCTCTTAGCAAGGTTAATCAAAACGGCAAAAGGAAAACGGTACCACCTACTAATATCCTTGCTTTTGTCTATGGTATACTAAAACCAAATGGATAGAATATTCAACCACTCACTCTTAAAACTTCAGAACTGTTGTAATAGATAGTTTTCGATTGACCTAAATTTAGCAAAAGTTACCTCCCGTTGGCCGCCATACTGGAGGTCCAAATGCTCATATTTCTTCATTGTTCAACCAATTTTAATATTTTATATTTCCGATTTTGAATTAGGAATCATTATTTATCTGAAGTATATAAATTTTTGGAAGACTCCCTTATTTAAGAAAAAATATTTAATAAAGATTTTCCACCAAATATTTCTGCTATATTTTCTTAAACTTGGTAAGACAAAGAGGAAAACTCACCGAGTCGACCTCCAATATGGCGACCAACGGGAGGTAACTTTTGCTAAATTTAGGTCCATCGAAAACTATTATTGTTTAACGACGAGTGGGCAATATTTTAGCAATTATTCGGCGGTCTTGGTTGTGATAGATACCAGGAAACAACATCAATATATTAAAGTCTACGTGCAAGCATTACGAAGATTGAAGACGATACGTATTATTGTCTGTTTGTTTGTATGTTCAATTGAATATGGTGGACATAAGTCAAGAGCAAAGTGGACATTGTTGATACACTTGAGTCACATTCTCCATAGGGAGTGTAAGTGGTACCAGTTGCTTATGTCCCTGGTTTTGTATATGCTGTAAACAAACCCAATGGATTATAAACTGGTTTGAGCCACTCACGCATTCAAATTCAGAATGTGGCTTGTACTAAATCTTGGCTGTGATAGATAGTAATAAAAAACAACAGCAAATGAAATCTACATCTACTTCCCAGCAATACACAGATTTAAGAGAGTAATTTTATTTCCTTGTCTTTTTTTAATTTTGTATTTACATACACAACACATAATAAATCAATCAATTTTGTATTTTTCAATTGAATATGATGGGCATGGCCAAAGAGAGAAGTGGACATTGTTCATGCATTCAGGTCACATTCTGAATAGGCAGTGTAAGTGGTACCAGTTGCTAATATCCCTGGTTTTGTTTATGCTGTAAACAAACCCAATAGATTAAAAAACTGTTTTGAGCCACTAACACATAAAACTTCTGAATATGACTTGTACTAAATCTTGGCTGTGATAGAAACTATTTGCCAGCAGTACACAGATCTAAGACAGTAGGTTTTCCTTGTAAATTTCCAGATTTGTATGGTGTCTCAATATGAGTGAAAATTTCTTAAGAGGGACGTTAAACAACATACAAGCAATCAAAAACTATTTTTCAGTTGAGTATAATGGGCATGGCCAAAAGTAGAAGTGGACATTGTTGATGCACTCAAGTTACATTCTGAATAGGTAGTGAAAGTGGTACCAGTCGCTAGTGTCCCTGGTTTTCTTTATGCATAAACAAACCCACTGGATTTAAAAATACTGTTTTTAGCCACTCACTCATAAAACTTCAGAATGTGATTTGTACTAAATCTTGTCTGTGATAGAAGCAAAGATACAACACTGATGGAAGTGTAATTGTCAGCAACACAGAGATTTAAAACAGTAAGTTTATTTTCTTGTCAGCTTTTCATTATGTAGTGGGTTTCCATATGAGTGAAAAATTCCCGAGAGGGAAGTTAAACAACACATAAAAAATCAATCAATCAATTTTGCATTCTTCAGTTGAATATGATGGGCATGGCCAGAGAGAGAAGTGGGCATTATTGATGCATCCAAGTCACATTCTGAAAATATAGTGAAAGTGGTACCAGTTGTAATGTCCCTGGTTTTGGTTATGCTTTAAAACAAACCCAGTGGATTAAAAAACTGTTTTGAGCCATTCACTCATAAAACTTCAGAATGTGACTTGTACTAAATCTTGGCTGTGTTAGAAACCAAGAAAAAGCAGTGATGGAAGTGTCATTGTCAGCAGCACACAGATTCAAAACAGTAAGTTTATTTTCTTGTCTGTGTTCAATTCTTTATTGGGTTTACAAATGAGTGAAGAATTCTCAAGAGGGACAACAACAATATGCAAGAAATCAATCAATCAATTTTGTATTTTTCAGTTGAATATGATGAGCATAGCCAAAGAGAGAGAAGTGGGCATTATTGATACACCCAAGTCACTTTCTGAATAGGTAGTGTAAGCAGTACCTCTTGCTAATGTCCCTGGTTTTGTTTATGCTTTAAGCAAACCCAGTGGATTAAAAAACTGTTTTGAGCCACTCACTCATAAAACTTCAGAATGTGACTTGTACTAAATCTTGGCTGTGTTAGAAACCAAGAAAAAACAGTGATGGAAGTGTCATTGTCAGCAGTACGCAGTTTTAAGACAGAAAGTTTATTTTCTTGTCTGTTATCAATTTTGTATGGTGTCTCCATATGAGTTAAAACTTCTCCAGAGGAACGATAATAACATACAAGAAAACAATCGATCAATCAATCATCTTTTTTTCAGTTGAATATGATGGGCATAGCCAAAGAGAGAAGTGGATATTGTTGATGTACTCAAGTCACAATCTTCTTCTTTTTTCTTCTTCCTGTCCAGTGCTGACCTCGATATCGAGTGTAATAGCAATCTGAATGGGTTGTGTAAGTTGTACCAGTTGCTAATGTTTCTCGTTTTGTTTATGCTATAAACAAACTCAGTGATTTAAAAGACTGATTTGAGACACTCACATATAAAACTCAGAATGTGACTTAACTAAATCTTGGCTGTGATAGAAACCAAGAATCATTAGTGATCGAAAATTACTTGCTAGCAGTACACAGAATTAAGACAGTAGGTATATTTTCTTGTCTGTTTTCAGTAACGCATTTTGTCTACATATGAATGAAAAATTCTCTTAAGGGACGTTAAAGAACACATTATAAATCAGTTAATCAGTTTTATATTTTTCAGTTGAATATGATGGACATGACCAAAGAGATAAGTGGAAATCGTTGATGCACTCAAGTCACATTCTGAATAGGTAGTGTAAGTGGTACCAGTTGCTTATGTCCCTGGTTTTGTTTAAGCTATAAACAAACCCAGTGGATTAAAAAACTGTTTTGAGCCATTCACTCTTAAAACTTCAGAATGTGACTTGTACTAAATCTTGGCTGTGTTAGAAACCAAGAAAAAAACAGTGACTGAAGTGTCATTGTCAGCAGCACACAGATTCAAAACTGTAAGTTTATATTCTTGTCTGTTTTTAATTCTTTATTGGGTCTCCAAATGAGTTAAAACTTCTCCAGAGGAACGACAATAACATACAAGAAAACAATCGATCAATTTTGTATTTTTCAGTTGAATATGATTGGCATAGCCAAAGAGAGAAGTGGACATTGTTGATGCACTCAATTCACATTCTGAATAGGTAGTGTAGATGGTACCAGTTGCTAATGTCCCTGGTTTTGTTTATGCTTTAAACAAACTCAGTGGATTAAAAAACTGTTTTGAGCCACTCACTCATAAAACATCATAAGTGACTTGTACAATTTCTTGGCTGGGATAGAAACCAAGAAACAATAGCAATCAAAATGTACTTGCAAGCAGTACACAGATTTAAGACAGTAAGTTTATTATCTTGTCTATTATTAATTTTATTTGGTGTCTCCATATGATTAAAAAATTCTCGAGAGGAATGAAACAACATACAAGGAATCAATGAATCAACATACAAGCAATGAATGAATCAAATATATATTATTCAGGTGGATTTGATGAGCATGGCAAAAGAGAGAAGTGGACATTGTTGAATTACTCAAGTCACATTCTGAATAGGTAAAGTAAGTGGTACCAGTTGCTAATGTCCCTGGTTTTGTTTATACTATAAACAAACCCAGTGGATTAAAAAACTGTTTTGAGCCACTCACTCATAAAACTTCAGAATGTGACTTGTACTAAATCTTGGCTGTGTTAGAAACCAAGAAAAAAAGTGATGGAAGTGTCATTGTCAGCAGCACACAGATTCAAAACTGTAAGTTTATATTCTTGTCTATTTTTAATTCTTTATTGGGTCTCCAAATGAGTTAAAACTTCTCTAGAGGAACGACAATAACATACAAGAAAACAATCGATCAATTTTGTATTTTTCAGTTGAATATGATGGGCATCGCCAAAGAGAGAAGTGGATATTGTTGATGTACTCAAGTCACAATCTGAATGGGTACTGTAGATGGTACCAGTTGCTAATATTCCTCGTTTTGTTTATGCTATAAACTAACTCAGTGATTTAAAAATCTGATTTGGGCCCCTTACTTATAAAACTTTAGAATGTGACTTATACTAAATCTTGGCTGTGATAGAAACCAAGAAACATTAGCGATGGAAAATTACTTGCCAGCAGTACACAGAATTAAGACAGTAAGTTTATTTTCTTGTCTATTATTAATTTTGTATGGTGTCTATACATGAGTGAACGATTCTCGAGAGGAACGAAACGACATACAAGGAATCGATGAATCAACATACAAGCAATGAATGAATCATATATTATTCAGGTGAATTTGATGGGCATGGCAAAAGAGAGACGTGGACATTGTTGATGTACTCAAGTCACATTCTGAATAGGTAGAGTAAGAGGTACCAGTTGCTAATATCCCGGGTTTTGTTTATGCTGTAAACAAACCCAGTGGATTAAAAAACTGTTTTGAGCCACTCACTCAGAACACTTCAGAATGTGACTTGTACTAAATCTTGGCTGTGATAGAAGCCAACAAACAAGAAAATACAGTGATAGAAGAGTCATTGTCAGCAGCACACAGATTTAAAACAGTAAGTTTATTTTCTTGTCTATTTTTAATTTTTTATTGGGTGTCCAAATGAGTGAAAAATTCTCAAGAGGAAGACAACAACATACAAGAAAACAATCGATCAGTTTTTTTATTTTCCAGCTGAATATGATGGGCATAGCCAAAGAGAGAAGTGGACATTGTTGATGCACTCAATTCACATTCTGAATAGGTAGTGTAGATGGTACCAGTTGCTAATGTCCCTGGTTTTGTTTATGCTTTAAACAAACTCAGTGGATTAAAAAACTGTTTTGAGCCACTCACTCATAAAACATCATAAGTGACTTGTACAATTTCTTGGCTGGGATAGAAACCAAGAAACAATAGCAATCAAAATGTACTTGCAAGCAGTACACAGATTTAAGACAGTAAGTTTATTATCTTGTCTATTATTAATTTTATTTGGTGTCTCCATATGATTAAAAAATTCTCGAGAGGAATGAAACAACATACAAGGAATCAATGAATCAACATACAAGCAATGAATGAATCAAATATATATTATTCAGGTGAATTTGATGAGCATGGCAAAAGAGAGAAGTGGACATTGTTGAATTACTCAAGTCACATTCTGAATAGGTAAAGTAAGTGGTACCAGTTGCTAATGTCCCTGGTTTTGTTTATACTATAAACAAACCCAGTGGATTAAAAAACTGTTTTGAGCCACTCACTCATAAAACTTCAGAATGTGACTTGTACTAAATCTTGGCTGTGTTAGAAACCAAGAAAAAAAGTGATGGAAGTGTCATTGTCAGCAGCACACAGATTCAAAACTGTAAGTTTATATTCTTGTCTATTTTTAATTCTTTATTGGGTCTCCAAATGAGTTAAAACTTCTCTAGAGGAACGACAATAACATACAAGAAAACAATCGATCAATTTTGTATTTTTCAGTTGAATATGATGGGCATCGCCAAAGAGAGAAGTGGATATTGTTGATGTACTCAAGTCACAATCTGAATGGGTACTGTAGATGGTACCAGTTGCTAATATTCCTCGTTTTGTTTATGCTATAAACTAACTCAGTGATTTAAAAATCTGATTTGGGCCCCTTACTTATAAAACTTTAGAATGTGACTTATACTAAATCTTGGCTGTGATAGAAACCAAGAAACATTAGCGATGGAAAATTACTTGCCAGCAGTACACAGAATTAAGACAGTAAGTTTATTTTCTTGTCTATTATTAATTTTGTATGGTGTCTATACATGAGTGAACGATTCTCGAGAGGAACGAAACGACATACAAGGAATCGATGAATCAACATACAAGCAATGAATGAATCAAATATATATTATTCAGGTGAATTTGATGGGCATGGCAAAAGAGAGACGTGGACATTGTTGATGTACTCAAGTCACATTCTGAATAGGTAGAGTAAGAGGTACCAGTTGCTAATATCCCGGGTTTTGTTTATGCTGTAAACAAACCCAGTGGATTAAAAAACTGTTTTGAGCCACTCACTCAGAACACTTCAGAATGTGACTTGTACTAAATCTTGGCTGTGATAGAAGCCAACAAACAAGAAAATACAGTGATAGAAGAGTCATTGTCAGCAGCACACAGATTTAAAACAGTAAGTTTATTTTCTTGTCTATTTTTAATTTTTTATTGGGTGTCCAAATGAGTGAAAAATTCTCAAGAGGAAGACAACAACATACAAGAAAACAATCGATCAGTTTTTTTATTTTCCAGCTGAATATGATGGGCATAGCCAAAGAGAAAAGTGGACATTGTTGATGCACCCAAGTCACATTCTGAATAGTAGTGTAAGAGGTACCAGTTGCTAATGTCCTTGATTTGTTTATGCTTCAAACAAACGCAGTGGATTTAAAAAAAAAACCGTTTTGAGCCACACAATCATAAACAAGAGGCCCATGGGCCTTATAGGTCACCTGAGCATTATGCAACAACTTTCCAGTGATTGAATTTGATTCATGTTTTAAGCCAGATGCTATGGCATTCACAATTTTGAAAGAGGCACCATTGATCATCATAACAATACACTTAGCAGTTGCTTAGTTTGTTTACTTAATACCCATACGCAGGGTAAGGGAACCCAAAATGCATTTCAACTAATCAGTAATATTCAGCAATAATCAGTAGTGCCCCTACCATACATGAACCCCTGACCCTTAGGCCTTAATATTTGATTACTACCAAGGAGCAGATTTCAAACCATTTATTCATTTTCAGTATATAAGTACACCCCCCCCCCTTTATGGTACCCCTGACCCTGGGGCCTTGAAATTAACAATTGTGGAAGATATGGGCTCTTGTCCATCATAAATATATTGGTAGTTCATCTGCTTTAATACCCTGGAGCAGAGAAGAAAATTTTCAAAGATTTAATGTATTTTCACTATATAATCAATAGAGCCCCGCCCTAACACCAGAACCCCTAACCCTGGGGCCATAAAATTCACAATTTTGGTAGAGGCACTCTTGCTCATCATAACTATGTACTTAGTTAGTTTATTTAATACCCGGGAGCAGAGAAGAAGATTTTCAAAGAATTCATGTATTTTCACTATATAATCAATAGAACCCCGCCCTAACACCAGAACCCCTGACCCTGGGGCCATAAAATTTACAATTTTGGTAAAGGCACTCTTGCTCATCATAACTATGTACTTAGTTAGTTCATTTAATACCCGGGAGCAGAGAAGAAGATTTTCAAGGAATTCATGTATTTTCACTATATAATCAATAGAGCCCCGCCCTAACACCAGAACCCCTGACCCTGAGGCTATAAAATTCACAATTTTGGTAGAGGCACTCTTGCTCATCATAACTATATACTTAGTTAGTTTATTTAATATCCAGGAGCAGAGAAGAAGATTTTCAAAGAATTCATGTATTTTCACTATATAATCAATAGAGCCCCGCCCTAACACCAGAACCCCTGACCCTGGGGCCATAAAATTTACAATTTTGGTAGAGGCACTCTTGCTCATCTTAACTATGTACTTAGTTAGTTCATTTAATACCCAGGAGCAGAGAAGAAGATTTTCAAAGAATTCATGTATTTTCACTATATAATCAATAGAGCCCCGCCCTAACACCAGAACCCCTGACCCTGGGGCCATAAAATTCACAATTTTGGTAGAGGCACTCTTGCTCATCTTAACTATGTATTTAGTTGGTTTATTTAATACCCAGGAGCAGAGAAGAAGATTTTCAAAGAAATAATGCATTTTCACTACCTACTTATTTAGCCCCGCCCTAGCACTAGAACCCCTGACCCCAGGGCCATGAATTTCACAATTTTGGTAGAGGACTCATTGCTGATTACAATCATGCAAACAGTTTGACTGCTTGATGTCCAGGAGTAAAGAAGAAGATTTTTAAAGATTGCACTAATTTTAGTGGTTTTGGCCCCACCCCACAGGCCCCAGGGGGGCAGGGATCATGAAATTCACAATTTTTGTTCCCCTTCACCCATAGATGCTTTATGCCAAATTTGGTTAAAATTGGTTCAGTGGTTGCAGAGAAGAAGCTGAAAATGTTCAAATGTTAACGCACGACGCACAACGCACGACGCACGACGCACGACGACGGACGAAAACAGATAGCAATAGGTCACCTGAGTTTACTCAGGTGACCTAAAAATCAGAAAGTGACTTTTACAAATTCTTGGCATGGATAGAAACCAAGAAACAAAAACAATCGATATGTACTTACCAGCAGTACACTGATTTTAGACAGTAAGTTTATTTTATTGTCTTTTATCAATTTTGTATGGTATCTCCAAATAAGTGAAATATTCTCGAGAGGGACGAAACAACATACAATCAATATTTCAAATATATATTTTTCAGTTGAATATGATGGGCATGGCCAAAGAGAGAAGTGAACATTGTTGATGCTCTCAAGCCACATTCTGAATTCGACGTACAAGTGTAAATTTATTCATATTTGCTTGTTTGTTTTTAATTCTTTATTGGGACTCCATATGAGTGAACAATTCTCGATAGACATTAAATCAATCAATAAATTTTGTATTCTTCAGTTGAATATGATTGGATACATTGTTGAATTACTCAAGTGACATTCTGAATATGTAGAGTAAGTGGTAACAGTTGCTAATGTCCCTGGTTTTGTTTATACTGTAAACAAACCCAGTGGATTAAAAAACTGTTTTGAGTCACTCACACATAAAACTTCAGAATGTGACTTGTACTTAATCCTGGCTGTGATAGAAGCCAAGAAACAACAGCGATTGAAAATTATACTTGCCAGCGGTACACAGACTTAAGACGTAGGTTTATTTTCTTATCTGTTTTTAGTTAAGTATTTTATCTACATTTGATTGAAAAATTCCCGAGGGGGATAGATGAATATGATGGGCATAGCCAAAGAGAGAAGTGGATATTGTTGATGCACCCAAGTCACATTCTGAGTAGGTAGTGAAAGTGGTACCAGTTGCTAATGTCCCTGGTTTTGTTTATGCTATAAACTAACCCTGTGGATTTAAAACTGTTTTGAGTCACTCACTCATAACACTTCAGAATGTGACTTATACTAAATCTTGGCTGTGCTGTGATAGAAACAAATAAACAACAGCAATCAAAATGTACTTGCAAGCAGTACATATATTTTAAAAGACAGTAGATTTATTCTCCTGTCTGTTTTCAGTTTTGTATGGTGTCTCCATATGATTGAACATTTTTGGAGAGGAAAGAAAAACATACATGCAATCTAAAATCATTTTTTTTGTATTTTCTAGTTGAAATTTATGGGCATGGCCAAAGAGAGAAGTGGACATTGTTCATGCACTCAAGTCACATTCTGAATAGATGAGTAAGTGGTACCAGTTGCTAATGGTCCTGGTTTTGTTTTTGCTATAAAGTGGATTAAAAAACTGATTTTAGTCACTCACTCATAAAACTTCAGAATGTGACTTGTACTAAATCTTGTTTGTGATAGAACCCAAGAAACAGTACCGACTGAAGTATACTTCCCAGTAGTACACAATGTGAAGATGGCAATTTTTTTATTGTCTGATCCTTGCTTATGTTGTACATGTATTTTCAGTTCAATATGATCAGCATGTCGCCAAAAAAGTATGTGCATTGTTGATGCATTCAAAGTATTGAATTTTCAGTTGAATATGACGAGCTTGGCCCCAGTATTTTTTTTTAAATTTTTGGCAGTGATTCTTGTGATGTTGGCAACATCTATGCAATCAATCTTTTATGAAATCTTCGTTTGTGATTCATATTGAATTTCCTTTTGAAAGGAATGAATTTTTTTCAGACTGATTAAATTCGTGTTGGACAATTTTTTTTTTAGAATCATCTCCTGAACAATCTTCCTCTGATGGCTTATTTAATCAGATTTCCCAAGTAAAATATGTTTTGTAGATCCGTTCTGTGTCAACAGTTTCAATCTCTGACAACAATTCATAAGTACGACATTCTATCTCCCGGATATAACATAATGACGGCACATTTGCTTTCAAAACAATGCTCAAAAATGTTCCGTATTGATTATATTTAACTAAGCGTAGGGCAATTTTTTTTTATAAAATGAGAGCATGTCTATAACAAATCTGAAAACCAATTCCACATGCAATAATAACAGACCAAAATACATGTAAATGGTCACGAGCAGATATTTGATTTTGTTCAGTTTGAAAGTATGAAACATACCGGTGTCTGAAAATTGAAAAAGAAAAAGTAAAATGGATTCAGAGCAATTGCCGCAACTACTTAATTTTCTGATGATCATATCGGTTTTTTTAATATTATAAAACCCTATACATTTGTAAATTAAAACCAAATAGGCCCCATTAATGAAATATTTGCAAAAAAAGTAATTGTAGTCTCAATCATCCAACGTATTGCTGCAGTTAGAAGTAAGCAATAAACTACATTAATTATCTTTACTGTGACCTGTTTGATATTTAATCAATCACTTTACATGTATTTGCATCCAGTGAGAGATGAAAAATATGATTATTTTGATATTAAGGAACCTACTTCCTCGTCTCTTTCGTAAGTGAATTTCTTTTAATTTACACATTTGTTACATCAGATAGAGCACGTATATTTCTCAGAAAGAAAGAATTTAGAATTATTTTCATCGATAAAGCATGATATGAATGAATATGACTAAAATATTTACAAAATGTATTATATGTGTTTAGTATTATATACTTGTTGAAAAAAATGAATTTAAAACAAATCCGTGGCTTAATATGACCGATTAAATGTGTTCTAAAGTTATTAGGACCTTTATTTGTCTTAACACCAGTTATCAAAATTTTTCGTTTTCGAAGTTATAAAAACAACTTATCATGCATCTATCCCTCAATTAATACATATATCAATATTTTATCTGATCTTTATGAAACATTTTAAGCACAGATTAAGGATCTAAAATATTCCATAATTGTTAAATAAAAACCATATTTGCCTGCCAAATTTGTTTTTGATAACTTTGACTGACAAATTTTTTTCATGGTGAATGAAGTATAATCTAAGATATAATTTGGTGAAAATAATGGAAATCAGGCATTTACTAAAAAAGTAAAAATCTTTTTCAATCATCAATATTTACATAAAGATGAAGATGGTGCCTCTAGATTGACTGATATATTAGAGGGACTAATAAAATATAAATCATTTCAAAATACATGTAGTTAAATGAGATATGGTTTAATATATTAGAAATAAGACAAGTTGCCTTTAGTGTAAACCTTTCTTTTAATTTCATGGTGATTTTGATGTTAAATATATGAATACAAATACTGTAAACGTATTACATTTGACTGTGTATTCTTTTTAGCGGCTTCGGCGGCACCCAACAACCGCTAAATCAAGTACACGGCTAAATGTCTTGCACTTATACCTATAAATAAGAATATGAAGAAATCTGCTAAATCAAATCTACGCTAACTTATTCAAAATTCAATTTCCGCCAAATATCGTACACGCTAAATATAATACATTTACAGTATATAAACACAAAAGTACAAATTGTAGAATCCTGATTTCCATTTCTTTCCTTGTAACGATTATTATATTCGTTAATCGGGCTTTTTTAATTCACTAAAACAAATAAAACAAAGCAAAAAAAAAAAACAAAAACAAAACAAAACAAAAACAAAAAAAAAAAAAAACAGCCCAATATAATTCATTAAACCTTGTATAACACAAAAGGGAGAAAAAAGTAACCCGCGAGTAAAAAAATTCTACAATCATCTGCTAAATTAAATGTATGTAAATGTTCGTCCATTATGCAAATTTCAGTGACAATGATTCCTTAGATAATTCTATGATCATATGCTTAACATTTTCACAATGCTTTTTCCTTCTTCAATGAATACTGAGTAATCAAATACCCATTCCACTGATAACCATTTATTATAAATATCATTTATTTATATCATGAAATTTTATTTTTCCTGGATGAAAGCCATATTATTATCATTTTCCGTCCTTGTTTCATAACAATTTATTATTTTTATTACTTACGATTTATTAGTAGATATATTTGCCACAGATTGTATTAAGAATGTCAAAAGAATATACTACAAAGGCTATGTGGAAGATAGGTTAAAAGAAAAGGCGTAATTATCATAATGTCTTCCCAAAATGTTACACAATGTATTGAGAAAGAAACACTGAAACATCCTATTCGCGGGTTGTGGAGAAATGAAGACCAGCCTGAGTGTGATAGTAACGAAGAAGTGGTTTTCGAGAACTGTTTAAAGGAAAAGCTATTAAACGTCGAAAGACTTTCCACAGCGTCAAATGTGATTCCAGATGAACAAAAAAGAGAAGACGTCGACAAAATCGATTACTTCGACAGCGAGGACGAATACTGGGAAAACTATACCTTTACAACGGAAGACGATTTCCATTTCGATGAATTTGAAAATGGACAAGGTTCTCCATCTTCACGCACCAGAAGTATGGGAAGATATAGTAAGATATAACTTAAGAATTCTAACTCAAGTCACGCGATCAAAAAATAGTCAATGTATCTGCACCAACCAACTCAGTTAATGAATTTGCTTGCATAAAGGTCTTTTGTATGACTTATCATAGGATATAATCCTTTCCTTATTCTGTTATGAATTTATTTTAGGTCAGGGAGTAGAACAATACCATAACATGCCGGTCTTTCGAAGGTCTATACAGAAGTTTGCAACTGACAACAATTTTGATGTATATGATGTCATTTCCGATGGGAACTGTATGTTTCGGGCTATCGCTGATCAATTGCTTATCAATGGCTGTCTTGGGCATTCGATAGAGTCTCTGAGACACACAGCAATAAAGTAAGTTTACTGTAAAAAAAATGGAATTGATATTCCAGGATGAATGTCAGATAGCACACTTAACCAAGCACATTCAATTTATATCCTATACGGGTAGTTTAACAAGAGAAACGTACCGATTCAGTTATACATGCACATGCTTTGCTGTGCTGCTAAGGACGTGCAGAATTTCGATATTCAACAGATAAATTTTATTTACATCCAAAGGTATCTAGGACAGAATCCCTTCCATCAAGACAAAGGTCACCTATCTTCCTTTTTATCAGAGGAAACATGGGAGGAATATCTGACAAGAATGTCGAAGTCTGGTGAATGGAGCGACCACATCATTTTACAGGCTGTAGCTGATGTGTTCTCCCTCGAAGTCATCGTCTTCAACGTCTATCGTGATGACATATGTCGGACTGAAGTGAAAGGCAAAATGTGCAAGAATAATCAAAATCGTTTGACAATATTTCTTGGACACCTTGGGGAGTTCCATTATTTAAGTTTGCGTCCAAAACTATGGTTAAGACACTGGCCTTACAGTGAGTTATATAATTTTTAAGAATATTCAGTTTATTGCTTGTTACGATCGAATGATATACTTTAAACATTTAAAATCAGACGACAAGTTCCTCAGAAATATATAATTTCTCCCAAGAATTTGTCAATGAAGTATGGGCACTTAAACAAGTTTCCTCACAAAAACTTAGAATGACTTACAAGGCATTTGCACAAGATACCACAGAGTGATATTTCTTATCTATCCTATATGGGTAATCATCTGAATGGCCTTTATAACATTTTTTTGATGTGTTAATATTTAAAAACATATTGAAAACAATGTAGAAATCACAAGAAGATGACAAATATGCAGATTTTTTATGTAATACCAAAAGATACAAAATGTATATTTGAGGAACGTGTCGTTTGACCTTAATACTTATAATTTTCAGAGGTTCTAATACTAAGGATCCTAGCCTGTACAAAGGAGATTGACTCTGACACAAAAAGACATTTTATAGCACAACAGGTGAAAAGAATGAATGACGAAAGATTCATACCAGAGACAACATTACAGGAAGTTGCCAACTTTGCTCTGCACAAGATCGATGAGGACGAGGGCGAAGACGACGGTATGGAAGTGAAATATACTAATAACAGGGAATGGACACGTGTCTTTAGACCATACATCCAAATGGGTCTTCAGTCTGGAGAAACTGAAGGTAGCTAAGTTTTATGTTGAGGGAAGTATAAAATATTCTGTATTCTGCAAAGTACATTGAATTTCAAATTCGTCCATCGTATACAATTTTTGAATTGAATTTCTCTATTTAGGATCGATTCAATACCTTACAGAAGATGGAATGCAGATAGATTCGCTGACAGGAATACCAATAATACATTTATCCTTCATAATGAAAATTCTCCTGTCTCAAACACTCAAAAAAATTCGTTTTTTGATACCACAGGGTTATCTTCTTTATATAGAGGAACATCGAGAAATTATGTTCTACCACTTTATAGGACCCGCATGTGACCCATGCTATTTTACAATGAAAGACATAACTCGTTCACAGAAAATGAGTAAACTTTATAATGAACGGCATTTGAAGAAGCCAAGAATTGTTATTATTAGAAAGGACAAAAGTGTGCTTTTTGCAGTTTCTCCTGAAAAAGAAAATTCGATATCACGTTTATATGTTGATACTTCCGGTTCTCACCCTGGTTATTGTAGAATTAAACTTCAGATATATTGCAGAGATGACAATATTTTGCAGATTGGTTCAAATGTTTATCTAAAAGCATACGAGGTTCCCGAGAGGATTAAGACTGTTCCGCATTTTCATCAATGTGAAGTGCAGTATATTGGTTTTCAATGCCCATTCCCTCCAATGACATCTCAATGGAGGGAGAAGAAAAGAAACTATGACTTCCCCTCGGCTGTCCTCATTGACCGCGCAAGAGGAAGAAAGGTTACGTTAATTCCAAAAGCCCACCCAAGAAGCGAAAATCCAACCATTGAATGGAAATTCGACTTTTCTTTGGCAGAGTTCACGATGTTTACAAATCTAACAAAGGCACAGCAATATGGATATTTTGTGATAAAAGTATTGATTGAAAACATGACGTCCCATCTTAACAAAACCCTGAAACGAAAACACTTAAAAGCAGTGTTTTTGAATGCAGCTGAGGAAAAGCCCTCTAGTGCTTGGGACACATGCTTCAGCAGTTGTATACTGCATGTCATCAGCAAATTGTTGACGTGCTTAAAAACAGGTTTTTTGTCGCACTACTTTATACCAAGCAATAACCTTTTTGATAGTTTTTCGGAAGCTGACATCAATGCTCT